TTGGATCATTCTTGAAATTATATTGAACTACAGCAGATGGACTTTATCTTTGTGACAATTGTCTCTGTGCAACGATTTTTGTCCCATGGGGTTCTCCCCCGTTAAAGGGGTTAGCTGCAACGAAATTCGAGGAAACCAAGAAAAAGATTTCATGTAGAGAGAATTTTGTTGTAGGGAGAGTCAAACTTTATTTTCTAGAAATTTATGGCGTGATCGTCAAAAATCGAACAAGCTTTTGATCTGTTTTTCATTATCCATCAATCTTGCACTTCCATCTCCTTATTGACAGTTCATGGGGAAAGAATAAAAGCTTACCCGAATTTCTACGAGATTCCGTCTTCCCAGGACCAGAATTACGTAGATGAAGACTAGCACGTATCCACCGAACAAAAGCTGCAAATCGCCGAGAATGGCATCTGCAGTTGCATCCATGAAACTTCTAGCAGCGTTTTGAAATACTTCCGATTCTTTTTCAGATTCTTTCGTGAATGCGTCCACAGTATCGACGAAAGCACTTTCCCAGGCCAACGTCGCTTTATCAACCTTTTTCAAAATAAAAATGAAACATTAAAATTCTTGATGACGGGTTTTGAAAATGATGGGTATAAGCGGAAAGCTTCCGCACAGGAAACTTCGAGAAAAATTCGTCATTTGATTGGTACATTTTCCAGCTTTGTCCATCATAATACTGATAATAGTCGCGAATAATGTTTATATAATGTAGTTGCCTAAATCAATGTACAATAAATGTGCATTGCTAAAACATCAATTTTAAGATAACTGTATGATAAATTATAGAAATTAAAAAGGATAGCGTTTTGCCGGTGTTCGGTCTCATTCAATGTTCTAAAACATGTCCGCAGATTGGCTTTAATTCCATGCCACTCATCAAGAGTACTCTCGCTAAAAATATATGAAAATAATTTTGAAAATATGCGTGCTTCCACTAGAAAATCTCAAAACACATTTTATTCATCTGACAGCTAGCATTATTGAATTTCGAGCTCCATTTATAAATACCCTCTCCAACAGCAGGAGTTCTTAATTGGTATACCATATAATTAAATAAATGATGCTGGTGTTTCGGGTGTTGCGAGTATCAATGACCGCATTTGATTATCGTAATTAAAATGTCTAAACTTCAGGATGAAGCAATTTTAGTCCGATTAAAGTAATCCATTTTGACGATAGGTCTTCATTAAGAAAACCTATAATAAGGAATGAGAATCAATAAGAAAGCAAAAGATTAATTATACTCGTTCGGTTTTCTCGTCTCCGGTGAGTTGACCAACGTCGATTTGAATCATCCACCTCATCCGAAGAGCTTCAGCCCCGATTTGCGAGTCTTGGTCATTTTTCACGGGTTTTCCCAGGGTTGTCAAGTAGTCGAAATTCGATCCGTAAATTGGACTACAGAAATTCGGGGAAAATGAATTCCATTTTCATGCATGAGAAATATCTGGCTAAATATAGCTTCTTCTTATCAAACAATAATACATACGGAAGTAGGTTTGAAAAAAAAATTACCTCGTAAAAGTAGAATTCACGGTTTGGAAAATATCTTCGTCTTTCAATTTTTCGATTATCGCTCGATCGTATTTGTAAATTTCTAGGATGCTCCGCTCCGTACAACGAGGTCCATTCGGTGTGGGAATTCTGCCAAGATTTTACAATTTTTTGTCAAAGTAAAATTTGATTGCATTGATGCATAACATATGCGTGTTTTAACACCCTCACTTCAAACATGCCTCATCCCATGAGATCGTTTTTTCTTCGTCGTTTTTGTCCTTGTACTGAGCCGTTGTTGCGTTGATTTTTTCGTACAAGTCAAGCATCTGTAATATTGTAAATGTTTCAAAATTTTTCCAACATTTTGATTTTCAAAAATACCTATTCACTTGACAGGAAAATAACATGAAACGAGCATTTTATGCAGTAGTACAAAATTGCTATGTCTACGTACGTATATACGTCACTTTGACCCCAATCGAACCATTTCAGATCACTAAAATGTATTAAAATATACATAATACTGTATACAGTATTGCTTTTTTTAGAAAACAAACGCTGAAAATTATCTTTCATCAAAGCGAAGGAATCCTTTTGTAGTTGAAAATTATTTTGAATTTACTGTAAATCCAAACTCCTTCGATCCGAATCGTGATGATCAATTCGAAAATCGTCGAAGAATTATATTTATTTCGCCACTTTTCAGAGGTAATTTTCAAATGCCTTTGTTTTCCGAAATATTGATCATCAGAAAGATGTAAGATTTCAAATGACTGGTGAAGGTAATTAATTCCACTACGCAGGTTCACGTCCAAGTATTTTAAAATTCTCATAAAAGGTTCAATCCAACCAGCAGTTAATTATGAGATGAAATCGTGAAGTCATACTTCTTCGTCAACAGTCGTGATGGTACGATTTTCGGCATTACTGTATTTTGGGATTGAAAATTATCTTATTTTTCAGAAAGTTATTGGAGGTAAACTCACATCGAGTAAAGTTTGTTTCGTGAGCACGCTGGTCCCTGGCTTTCTCGTAACGAACAGGACTGTTTGAAATCTGTTCACGACTTGGAAATTCGCCTGAATCCATTTGTTGTCCCGTACGAAATCCGAGTCCTGGGGGACCGTGTTAAAGAGTGGTCGTCAAAGAAGTACGGTCGCGTTTTCAGGCTGAGGCGTATTCGGTGTTTAGTCGTCACCCTGCTACTATTTCTCCTGCCCAGCTAAACGTTCTTCAACAGGCATGGAAAAAATATGGAAGAAAGTGAGAAAAATCGTGTATAATTTAAGATAATGAGTTTCCCTATTCAGATATAGAGTCCAATTAGAACTGAGATTTTTTTCTGACGTTTCACCTGTAAAACCCGTTTTCGAGTCCGTTCACCACTGCGTCGCTGAGCTTTTTTAGGAACTTCATCCCGACACTTCGAGATTCTCTATTTTACTTTAAAATATTTTCACAAATTTTCAAACATCCCTTTTAATAAAAATTCAAAGTATTTTTAATTATGCCTCTGAATAAGCGTTCAAAGAAGTGCAGAGGAAAAATGGGTGATCATTCTTTGGTGTAATGAAATACTGTGACTACTGTAGGTACTTTAAAAATGTGGCAAACACGCGTCAATGCTGCTGGTGGTGAATGTACGGAGACGAGGAATAAAATAGTGTATATTTTAAATGCATACTATATTATGAAGTATTGCTGTCTTGAATCAGAAAAAATGCAAGACATAATTAATTCCTCATCATTCGAACATTCTATCGTCACTCGGCACATTATGTTTGCTAAAGGGATTTGGAATTCAAAATACATTGTGATTAATTCATTCAGCAGCAGGTAAAATTTCAGATGGTTTATGTCATCTCAAGAGAGCAAAATCACATAAAATTTGGGATCAGGAAAATTCCGAAATTTTTTTATTCGAATAAATGCCGTTACATTTTTTTTCATCCAACATATTTTTACACAATTTTAACTTTTGTTGATGTGAACGATAATTCGCGAAATATGCGGTCATTTTTTACACTTCCTTTTTAATTGGATGGCAGACAGTTTACGAAAAATGCATTGAACAGGACTGAATATACCGAATACAGTAGTCTTCACTGCATTCAGTGCATTCCACTTGAGATTTTTTAGGAAATGATGTACACTCATCACTTCAGAAGGATAATTCATATCATTTGCGCGTGTTGGGGGGACATTCACGCTGCTAAATGGTTCAGAATGTTCTTCAGGATATGCAGAAAATCTCACTTTCGCGATTTTGTTTTAGAAAAATTTCGATCAATAAGTAGGATCCTTTATGAGGGAGTTTGAATTTGTTTTTCTTAGCTCCGAAATAATATGAACGGTTATATAAAACTTAAAAATTCGCGACAATAAGATTCCACTCGCGTTAAACAGTCGTCCGCTCTTGGTTAGTAGCTATAAGGAGGCATAAAATGTCAACAACGGATTTAAAAAATTATTTTAATTGCAAAGCTTTTGTTTGAAACTTACAATACTTAATATTTTTTTATTTGAACTATACTGCAATTTCTACTTTACGTCTTTGAAAATTAATAGGCGCATAGCTTCCGATTAAGTTTTTTCGAATCATCTGCAGATATAATGTAATGAGAGGTATATACCTCACATCAACTAATATTGCGAATAACCGACGTATTTATACATATATACTATACCGTATATATACGAGTATATATACGAGTATATACACCATTCTACGTGTCACTGAAATTTTTTCAGCACTAATATTATAAGCAGTAATTGGAGAGACCGCTGTTTCTTAGATGGCTGACACTTTCTGAAATTTTCTAGAAAAGAATCGCAATAGCAAGTCGTTGCGCAACACATATGTTCAGGTGTCGAGACCACAAATAACTTTCAGAAGTGCAATTCTTATCACCAAAACCGTGGCCTTTCGAACTGATTCAACACGAGATTTACGTAACACATTCCAATGCGTCATGCTTGTCTGACCTTCAATTCATCAGCAGTGACTTGGTGAGTTTACACAGGAGTGACATAAATCCCTTCTTTTGTGAATCCCTATACAGCATTACGCTCGAAAAATATAAATTTAAACTTTAAAGTGGGCACTTTTTTAATACCTCCGATTGCTCGCCGTCGAATAATAACATTTTTGAACTTTTCTTTCCGAAGATCCACACGTACGGTAGAAATATATACTGTATAAAGGAATGAAATATTACAATAATAGCCTATCCTGTTCAGCAGCAGGTACAGTAGGGTGTTTAGGATGGGGTATATAATCGCGTGGTTGATGCGAACTGCTGGGTGGAAATCACCAAAATAATTTCTTATTGGAGCATGTAGTAAAAGATAATTCTTATCTCTCTCTGTATATGTGCTGAAGATTGGCATTCCATAGATAACTAGCTGGTTTAAGAGTTCTGAGCTAGTCATGACATTTTTCCCCCGCGGAATCTTGAATTATATCATCATAGTGATTGCACTTATTGCTTTCAGCATTTTGGTTCGCCTGTGCAATATATAACGTCTCCAATAAATGAGAATGCGATTGCTGATTGAAATTGTGATTTGAGAAACCCGCTGTGGCTGCTAATGCATATGATGGTATGCAAGGTTCTGTTCGAAAATTAGACTGGATTTTTTGCTATCAGTTATTAGAAAAAGAGTACAGCATCTTTTCTGCGTAAGTTTCACACATTATTGATCATGAAGACATATTAGCTGTAAAAAAAAAAAAAAAAACTGAGGAAAATACTTCTATATATAGCGGCTTATCAAATTTTTTCAAATATGTTCAATTGTGCTGTGCAGAACCTCTATTTTTAAACTCAAAATATGTATCCGGTAAATGCTGCCACTTTTGGAACGCACGATAACGCATCGATAGTAAAAAAATACACTCTTGAATTTTAAATACTGCATACAGTATTTGTGCAAGCTATAGGTTACAAACTCATAAATACACTACTACATTTTCAATTAAATCTTTGCAATGTCATCTGCTGGTTAATCGAAAAAACATACTGTTGTATTTTCAATTTTTCAAAAAATTCTCTCAGAATAATTTAAAAAAATGTTCATTGTGTATACAGCAGTACAGTGCTGTTGAGTACAGTACTGAATTTCGGAATCAATTTTGAACAGACTTCCTGGAGGAGCAACTGGAAGCGACTTGAATTTGACATGAAAACTGCCATCGTCTCATACCGCTATAACAAATATAACTGCCATCCCAACCAAAAAAAAAAGTTGAATGAAAGCAGCGTATATATTCCCTGTATATGAGAAGAATTGTGAAACTTGATTCATGTGCAGCTGAACTGCCAATGGACACGAAAAGCACAATTGATTGTTAATGACACCTTGACTTCAAGCGAAGAAATGTGAAACTTGGTTCTGAAGGTCAAGAGTTTCCGCAGAGGTGCGCTGATGGCGATGATCGACGACTGCAGCAATAAGGTAAAGTGAAAGAATTAATTTGAGGTTTCCAGAGCGACATCTAGTAGTATAAGTTTGATGCTGTTACTGCGTCCAAAACGGCCAACCGGAAGAAATCTGTAAACTGAAATACTTGAATGATTGGACGTCGGGCAGCGGAAGAACCGTAGAGTAAGGGTTCAAGTTCTTAAGTTTTGCCCATCTGGAACCGAATGAGATCTTCGTTAATTTCTTGTGAATTGATCAGTGTCGTCGTAAAGTACGGAAGTACAATCAATTCAAGGGCGTTAACTCTGTACTCATTCATGTGTACTTCCGCATTTTTCTTAGTGGAATAGGGTCTGGTGTATGAGGAGGTTGACCTTGATTCTGAGGTGTTCCACATTCAAAAGTTCTTCGGTTCGAGGTTAATATCGTGTCGATACTTCAAGTGCATCATGGGAAAGAAAAGCGGCGCGTCGTTCAGCAAACACGCGAAGACGGGTACAGCTTAAAGATCGAATGCTGCACTATCAGTCCTAACGCAGTGGTTTTTTATGTGTAGATCATGCAACTCATCCGAAGCGAAGTTTGGAAGAACGTCAAACTCATGGCGAAAAGCCAGGCTGGGGCATATCGAAGTTTGAAATAGGCCGTTGTGTCGAAGCAAGAGATGCATCAAACGCGAAGTGGCTCAAAGCAGAAGTCGTTGACATCATGCGATCCGAAAGTCTTGTTCGAATCCACTTCTTAAGTTTATCTCAGCTTTTCGATGAATGGATTCAAGTTCCAAGTCCTCGCATACGCCCTCTCAAGCAAGATGCTGGTCCGAGTAATTTTGTCGGACGGATGTACAAAGAGAACGAGATCGTGTTAGCGCCATGGTTGAACAAGAAAAGGTAGAGTACTGTTGCTTCACGGATTCTGTTTCGTATAAAATGTTGAGAGATTGGGATCCATTTTCATCGACAGATTTCCTGCGAAGATCGTAGAGAAGCTGGAAGGAAATGACGAAGAACAAGCAGTATATCGTGTTCGGTTCGAAGATGGGTTCATAATTGACGCAGTTGGTAGAGATATCCGACCGATGGACCCCAGAAAGGCGAAAGATATCGTAAGTCTAAAGTACAGTGCGAGCGTATGTGATTATGCAAATTTTGAATTTCTCCAGGTTTTCAGCAAAGAAGTCGTGCTTCGCGAAGAAAAGAAGCTAATGTACGAACAGGTTGACATCACAGTCGCACCTTCTCGCGAAGAACGTCGGCAGAAATCGAAGCGCATAAATATTTCTGAAGTGCTCGGCCTTAAACGGCGCTCCGAGTCCGTTTCAACTCCTTTGACTCAAAATTCTCGTCTAGAAACGGATGAGCTATCATCAGGAAGCGTGATTCCAGGAAGATCTGGAAACAAACGGGGTTCAAAGCGCCCAGTGCGTTATTCCCCGACGAACAGTCCAATCCCTCCTGCATCGAATGCTTCCACAGGTTCGCTCTCTCGGTTTTTTCATGATCCACATATGTATGAAGTTAATCTCTCGTCTCGGACCTGCAATTAATCGTTCTTGTGAATTTGTTCTGGAGTGCGAGTATTGGGTGCGAAAATCCATTGACGTACGGTTAGGGTGTTGAAATATTCCTGTAATGTCGATCATGTAATTTTTAAATTTCTGACCCTGGTGTGAGGCTTTTTACTTTATTCTCAAGTGAATAAAACGCGGCTCGAATAAGAATTCCGGTCCTGGTGGCGATTGAAAATGAATGGCATTCTAACTTGTTATGTTTAAATTTTGTTTCTGAAGATGCTGCTCTGTCCCATTGGGGTAAAAAGCCGACAGAGGCGAAAGCATTCCAATCTGCGTCGGTGACGAAGATTACGTTTCCAGTCGCAGAAAAGCTTGTGAAATCTGAAACGGAAATTGACGTCAACATAGCTAAACACGTGTGGCAAGTTTCTGTGGAACAATCTTCCGTCGTTGCTAATGTTTCCGAAGCGGTTGAAGCAGCGGAACAAGCCGCAGGACCTCAAGTGAGTGGACTTGTTTTCTCTCGTCACAGTCGCTTTAGTTTTGCAGTATTATGTTTACTTATTCTGAGTTTAAATTATTTTAAATTCTTGCCCTTCTGACTTCGACTATTTTTTTCTTGAAAAGTGTCATAAATCGGGAAGTCTTTCGGAGTAGAGCGAGAAAGTAGATACAGGCACTCTATCCAGTATATAATTGTCTGACGTGTGCTTTCTGATCTAGGTTCGCAGGAAAAGCGTTCAGCCGAGGATTAGAGGTCGATACTCTTCGTATCCGAAGCCCGTCTCTGCGATTCCGGCTCCTGAGGTAGAAGTGGCGCATCCAAGCGAGTCTCCAAAACACGACATGGAACCCGACCCAAGTTTCATTCCGGGTACGATTCCTGTGAAAGCTATTCCGGATTCTGAAGAGGTCACACCGGAAGGAAACGAGAAGCCAGCAGATGTTGAGCAAGAAGAGCCCGCGAAGCAGACGATCCATCCGAGTGTCTTTGTCTTTACGCCGAAGACAAAATCAACGAAAGAAGAGTGAGTGAAAAATAAATAAGATGGCCACTAGTTATCCTGTGAAAAGCGCGACAGAAAAAAGCTATGTTCTTTATTTTTTTATGTTTGACTGCGTCGTGAATTACTCTAATGTACTGAATTAGAAAATTCCAAATTGAGTTTTATCCTGAGTATTTTTTCAACTACGGCAGTAGCGTTGTAAGTGTCAGTGCAGTATTTCCTTTATTCAGTTTTAAATCATTTGTTAATTTTGATTTCTTATCTTTTTATATCGTTTGTATGCAATTTTTGTTTCGATTCAAGTTTGCACTTTGGATTTGATCGGAACCATGGATTTAAAATTGTAACCTGACCTCCGAATGTAACGAACGCGCTGTTTTCTCCATCAGATTCAAACTTTAATTTCTAGTTTGAAAATTAGTGGATTATTGATATCGATATCTTTTGCCCAAACTTCTGGTACTGTTTCATAGCTAACGTCAAAAACGAACCAAAGAATGCTTTTCAGAGAGGAATTCATGTTTTATCGGAATGAATACTGAAATTCAATTTAAAATTTTTTCCTGGCTGCAGGAAGAAAGTGGTGGAACAAAAGCCAGTTGCTCAACCCCAGGAAAACGTTTGTCCAGTTGAAAGCTGTCGGAAATCGTTTCGTCGCGAAGACCTTCTTATGATGCATATCAAACACAATCACTCGACGCTCAAGCAAGTTGTTGCAACTCCCAGTGTGAGCGAGATGGCGGTGCACATCCGGCCAAGTAGCTCGCCGCAGAATGCTTCAGAAATCGATAAGAATGTCTCTATAGAGGCAGTCATTGACGTGGAAGTGGGTAAGGAGGTGGGCAGCTGTATTGCCTTTGTTCCTCAGACGGAGGCAGCTATCCGTTCGGAGGTGCCGTTTCGCTTCGAGCTCGGTAAGAGCACTCCAACGCGAGCCAAAAAGCCAAAAAAAAGAAAAGGTCCGTTGGGCTTTGGCAAACGTAAGAAACCAGCACAACAAGCACGAGGGTCGTTCCCGCGAAACGTCGCCGCGACTTCCGTCGTATCAGACATTCATGGGTAAACATCTTGTCTTTTCGCTGATTTAATGTGGATGCATGTGCTTCGGTCAACATTTGTAAATCGTCCTGAAGTACTTTAATTATAAGGCACGACTTTTTTCAAATCGGTTTAACTTGTTCATGACTTGAATTTTGGAGTTTTTTCTCTGAAGCTGAACAGTTATCAACGGATGAAATAAACGCAAATTTAGTCTTTTAAGTTATTGGGTTAATGTGGGAGAAACTACCTTTGTCAAAGTGTGTCTATCATTTGGTCGATTCGCTTCACATTTTGTATCATGCTCATTGAAGCTTTTGAAACGTTGCTGAGAGATTGTGGAGGTAAATGGAAATTGTTTTGCCTGAAACTTGCTTTAAAAATTCAGCTTTTAGCTCAGTTGAAAACCCCTCCTCATGTGTCGTTAAATAGAGGAGCTAATGCTGCGCTTGTTGAAATGCCGTCATCGACGACGACGGACGTACCTGACGCAAGCGGTGGGAAACTGGATTCAAGCGATGTCCTTGTGGAACCCGCCCCGGACTCATCGATCAGTGTAGACGACAGGCAAGGAAAAAAGCCCGATGTCGTTCAAGTCACCGATGATGTATCATTATCGGATGCCGGTGGAACCGATTCAATGGCGGAGACAGACACCACCACTTGCCCTTCTGCGCCTAGCACGAGTGCAACAGGCGACGTCGTCTGTTGCTCCTGTCGCTCGACCGCCTCTTACGGGCTCATGATTCAGGTGACGGCAGTTCACAAGCTTCAATTACTAAGGCTATCAAGCATTCTGTAAATTTGAGGATGAATGTAATTCGAAAGTGCGCCAATTTTGCAGCGAAGTGTCATTGTTCCGTTGTGCGAGAGAGCTGAGATTGAGAATATGTTTTACTGAGCGCATAGTTCCCGAAATGTTCATGTCGGTAAAAATGTTCTCTAGGCACATTCCCTTTTAGTTTGGATTCGTTCCACTCTTCCGCATGATATCGTTTTCTTGAATGTCCGTTGGGTGACACCTGAACCCGACGTTTAATTTAAATTTACTAAATCTGAAGTTGCCTACCTGGTACCTGCATCTATTGGATGGAAGATATATGTAATGAGTAGTAACTACCCCTATTCTTTCAAAGTTAAGTCGATTTTATCTTAATCTTAATTAGGTTTACTGTAACGAAATGTTTCAAGATTCAAGCAATAAATACCGCTAGATGAAATTACGGACTTGAGCATGTTCGGCGTAGACGAGGAAAGGCCTAAATTGCTTTCAGAGTAAAACCACGTTTCGACCTACAAGGAACTAATCCATGCTCTGTAATACGATTTGTTGTTGGTCGTTTTCGTGAGGAGGTTTTATCAGTTGGCACGATAATACTGTATATGAAAATTTAACGAATTGACAAGAGTAAGACTCGTGCTATTGCGATTAGGTGTACGTCTGTGGCATCGATTCTACATTATCAGGATTCGTCTCACAAGATTTTATTGCTGAAGATGAAAGTATTCATTGAACTGGGGTTTTGTTCTAGTGCGACTCCTGTGAAACATGGCAGCACGGAGCCTGTGAAAACCTCATGGACGACACGGCGGTGCCGAAGCACTATGAATGCAATACGTGTCGGAATCCCCGTCTTCAGCGTCGATCAATGAAGTATACGCACGATGAGTCGTTCCTCAAGAGCGCCTCTTTGCCCAGGTGAGGCACTTTCGTGATGTGCGGTCGCAAAGCTGATCCATTTACTTCAAAAAATTTCATTGAAGGAATGTTGATACTGTACATTACTTCAATTGCGTTTTACATTGAGTTCGGCATTCCAAATCCATCTTCCTTCATAACTCAAGTTTCTGATGTACAGAATTGATTTGGTGTGCATGACAACAACTAGTGGTTAGAAAACATCAAGATCGCGAGTGAGCCGTATCAAAAAATGTACTCCCATTACGCTTGCTCAATATGTCAGTCGCTCCTTTGAGGGACAGGATTAGTTATGGGAAGACCTTTAAATTCCTTGTTATACGGCACGAACAAAGGCATCACTTGAGACACAGATTCGTATGAACCGCTTGTCATTTGAGTTGTTCTTCGGTGTCGAACTGATTGGCTGTACAGTAATGGAATCCAATATTTTTACATAACCTAGCTTCTTCTTGGGCGAAGAAGTAACTGACGAGAGTGAAGACGACAAGAAGAGACGAGTGGCGGCGACCATGAAGCTGAGCAAAATTATCGGACGTTTGTTGAAACTGCGCGATTTGGAGAAATCCGTTCAACACAAGATCAACATTGCCCAGTTAGTATTTTTATTGTTTTCTGTTGTGTATACCGTATAGTACTCAGTTCTTTTAGCTTTAAAGGGTTTTTGATCTTGTATCGTCCGTAAATAATTTAAAAAAATTATCAACCTGGCCTGGTGATGAAGAGATGCGAGGGGGACATCCAATTCATTCATGATCATCTCAACTTCCGCGGAACATATTTCTGACAATCCAAAATATTATTCAAAATACGGATGCCATGCCATATTTTGATCATTTCGGTTTTAATACAGTACACACATTCTGTGTACGAAATCTTATCTTTTTTCGTATTTCGTATTTGTCCTTTTTTTCTTGAGATTTTCACCAAGACATAGAAGTCATGCAGTTTTTTGTTCTTCATGGAGAAGATCAGTTGAATCGGTGCAGTTCTGTTCCTTTTTTTGTTTTCGTTTACAATACTGTATTCTGACTGGGATTGCGGATCTCTGACAAATTTTACACTACAGTAATGTGTAAATGTAGAACTCTCGCGGCACTTCGAATTTGGTTGATGTGACAATGCGGAGTCCTCGGCTGCGTATCATGATAGATTCTCTCGATTACATATTTTCATGTATAATCGAGTATATATATTTTTTATAGAAACCCAAATCATCCGAAGCTGGTGCAATGGGCGAAACCCTGGCCAACGATTGTCCGCGCTGTAACATCTCAGGTTGATGCGGCACCGTTGAGTATCGACGAGATGCGATGCATCGCCTCTGTGATCGAAAGCAAGTTACAGTCGAACGAGATTCAGTCTTCCGACGTGACAGAGAGCAACGCGAGGGACGCGGACCTGGACCTTGACATTACTCATTGGCTCGAGGATCAGTCCGATGTCGAAGGTGAGACGTCCACATCGACACTTATTTTATAAAATCCTGGTATTGTCTTTTTTCTTATTGATTTAAACCCTGTCTCTGTCCTTACGAGCCATTTAGTAGTCGTATCTCGAAGTCTGGATTCAAATGGTTTTTCTTTTCTCTCCGTGCTTCACAGCTGTGGCTTCTGTATCGGACAACGCGCCGGAGTTCAAGGCCCCGGAGCTCAAACGCATTGAGCCTATGGAATGCCAGGTCAACTTATTCAACCACGTAGACGACCTGCAGACTAAGCTGCAGGAAGAGTACAAAGACGTTGAGAATGCTCTTGACGGTAAGTTTTCGAAAAGAAACGTCGGTTGGTGTAATTAAAATCAGATTATTATGCAGTATCTGTAACAACTTCGCGTCAAATCAGTGCGGCCACCTCTTTCACCTGCGCTAATCAGATTTGATTTCTTGCATAGGAATATCTTGAGGAAATGTTCCATGATTTCTTTTATGCCGCCGTTCAAGTGTACCGTACTTTATTTTATTTTTTAATGTAAATGCGAAAGTGTTCCCTATCCCTCCGTATTTTGTTTGAGATGCTGTAATGCTTTCTGGTTCATTGTGACTTTTGTATTTTTCAGAAGTGGAGAAAGAGTTGGCACTTCCCCACCTTTCTATGAAGAGAAGTAATGCTTTGATGAAGTACATGGCCAGTCTTCTGGATGTTATCGAAGGACGTGAATGAACGGAGTTCACTTCTGGGAGAATACTTCGCGTTCTTTTGGTTGAGGGAGTTGTCGTTTTGTATAATTTTGAGAACTACTTCAATTTTTAAGCTGTACGAGGTTTGATAGCAGATTTGAATTTGATGTTTTTATGGACCTGGTGGTTCATGAGTGTATAATAAACTTTTTCTCGTCTTGGATCCTTCAACATTCATGTAAGCCCGGAACATTAATTATGAAGTGTACACGTAACTTGATTGTTCCAGAAGCATTAAAAATCTTTTTCCAGCAAATTATTGCTTTAGAACCAATATTTAGGGCCCGAGCGAATAATCGAAGTTCTACTTGAATTTCTTAAAAAATAATTCGGTAATAACGATTTTTTTCCTAGTCCCAATGTCTTTATTATGGCAAGATTTTGTTTTTTCTTCACTACTGTACATCTTGTGAGTGCCTGTTGGGCTGTTGTTTAAATGGAACCTACAAAATATTTTGGCGATGAGCCAACACTGCGTATGCAGCATCAGTGATCAAAATGTGTATGTTGATACTCCATGAACCATCATTTTCCTGTGTGGACAGGGTTTGACTTTTCATGCAGGACAGTATAGGTACTCCGCACTTACTTCTGTTTGGCAGAGCAGCATCATTTTTTAAATAAATCTATACTTGCTTTTCTGTTGTGAACTGTGAGTCGGTAACAATCGTGTGTCTTGAACTTCTGTAAATCTGGATCATTCGGTTGTAGTATGTTGGAAAAGAATAGAAAGTTCTGCATGTATTAGACTTCCCTACGATTTCCGGAGTAGGTTGAAGGCTTCTGTGCAAGAAATTTTATCGAAAAGGGAAGGGATCTTGAGAATTGAAATTTAGTTGTATACAAAACAAATTCGCTGAGTTTGGAACTGTTGAAAGCTTCCAAGAATGGGATTACGGTATAGCTAAAATATACGGACGAGTCAAGAGAGTATACACATTGAGTAAGTCAAAATTAATAGATATGCTCCATTCCACGGACGTCCTGTTTATTTCCGGCTTCATGATGGGTGGTAGTGTATAGCAAATGAATATTTCCACCATGAAGATCATTGGAAAACTAGGATTTGTTGACCACCTTATTCTGTGAAAGGATAGTTTGCTAATCATGGTCAACTGAGAATTTGCGGTTCCTCTGATGGAGAGGATGCATCATGCATGGCTTTGATCCACCCAATAGGCAGACTCCTCTACCTTATTTTTTGGTCTCCCGAATCATTTTATGTTACAGTACATGCATCATGATTTTGACCTTGAATTAGGGTCTGCAACAGCTACATGATATCGAGCTGATGACGCACTTTCGTGTGTGATTTGCACTGTTATTGTGATCACGTGGCGCGCCATCTGCACGAAGCTCATCAACAATACCTTTGAGCATACATTTTGGAACGTCATTCAGAATTAAATAAAGAGAATTTCTTCATTTTTATTGAACGAGAGGATGCGGAATAAAGAAGCTTCATATTGGCACAATAATCAAGAGCTGACCTGCAATTGACGGTGACAACAAAACGTATACTGTGCTTGATGAGGATGGCGGCGCTTATAATACTGTCAGATGCTGATTTAAAAAATTGTATAGGAATAGGGAGAAGAGCCAAAAATGTCAGTCCTTCAAGCGGCTGAAATGAAAGATCGCATATTAAACGGGCATGGCGCAATACTGTACAGTATATGTACTGTGGTACATTTGTAGTTTTTTAATGAGTATTGTACGTGCAGGCGATCTCCACTGCCAGCAGTATGGCGCTTCAGGGCAAAAAAAAAAAACGGGGGGAGACTTCCCCCCGTATTCCTCAAAGGCATTTTAATTATCATATGAATTAATGATATGAAACTTGAATTGTTGATTGAATTATTCGAGCGACCCCTGTATGACGCATGTAGACTTGCGGTGAGGATACTGCGGGCATTCGCCGTGCCTGGCTGTGCGCTGTACGGTTAAGTTGGGGGGCAGTATCGAAGTGTACCCATGAAAGGTTTTGGGAAGCACCGAAAACTGTTCAAAATGCAGCAAAGTTTTTGCGTACCTAACTATTAAAACACCTCTCTATCAGACCATGACTTATATACAGTATAGTGCAGAAAATCGGGCGCAATGACGTAATTCTGTGCAGGCAGTAGTGACATTGATCAAATGGAACATTGAAGTTACATCCTCAATAAGTGGAGTACCGCAATTTGGAATGGAAGGCCTTCAGCTTCCGCAGTTTGGTTTCCACGTATCGCTGTCGGCTGAAATACACGTGCTATACCGTATTACTAAATATGCTGGTATGCATATGCCATTCAATTCAATGTGTTGAGCCTTATGAATCAACAGCAGTGGCCTCTGCATAAATTCAGTTGAAAGTCTCGTGCTCCTACTGCGATGTACTATGGGAGTGAGGAACAAGGGCACCTAGGAGGAAGAACACATGATAAGCTGTAAAAATAGTAGTATTGTACAGTACTTCGGAGGTTGTAAGTTTCAAGACTCGAACAATTTTTGAAAATTGAGGGACGCCGCTCGCCTTCAAAGAAGTGAATTGCTTCATCATTAATTTTCGAGTGGTTCAACATTTTTTCATTGACTACAGCCGTCATGTCGAAAACGTGAATCCCGCGAACTTCGTCGTGAAGTTGTCATTGAACACGTTGAAGGACAAATTCTGACTTTCGTTGTTCATCATGACTGAGGGGTATGAGCTTACCGGAAAGTACTGCCATGAAGAAGGCTTCACCGATTTTACATTAACTGCGGATGGCAGGTAAGGAGTGGTCAAGAAGTTCATAACATTCGTTGATCTCTCATTGCGCTCGTTAAGGAAACTCGTCACTTACGGATCTGACGGAGAGATCAGGATTTGGGAGAGTATCGGATCAGAGCCTATATTTCTGCCGATGGAGGATGTTCCGTGTGCGATTGATTCGTTTGTATGCATCGGATGTACAGTAGACATTATTCGTTGAATTTCAAAGCCATTTTTTAACAGGGAGATAACTTCCTCGTTGGAACTGATAATTTTACGGTTGACATGTACTCTTTGTCGACACTCACAAGAGAGAGCACCGTATTGAAGTTCACTGGAAAACCCACTCACATTGTCTCAAACGCGGATGGACTTCTAATAGCTGCAGGATGCTGGTATGCTCAGAACTTTATTCGAACTCATGGAGAATTCCGAAGTTCGCTGATTTTCTTTCAGTGACATGAATATTAAGTGTGTGGACTCCAGGAAGTCTGACAAGAGATTCCTTCAGTTTTCCGGTCATTCGTCTGCGGTCTTAAGTCTTGCGTTGGATCCTCAGGGCCAATACTTGGTATGCGTTACAGTTTCACCTCTTCTCTTGCATGGATTTAAACTTTTCTTCTCTAGGCCTCCTCCTCTGCAGATGGAACTCTAAAGATCTGGTCGTTAGAAACAGAAGCATGTCTGCGCACGGAGTACAACTTGATCGTTAAATCGAATGACTTCGAAACTTCAACTGTACTGTGCCGATTGGCGTTTTCTCCGGGAGACGGGAAGTTCTTGGCGGTGCCTTCAACAGACGGCGTTCGAGTTTTTGCGAGGGATTCCTGGGATTTTCAGTTCACACTTGCAGAAAGTGGAGTTTCTTCGGTAAAATAATTCTCCATTACTGTCAATGTCTTTTCTCTCACGTGTCTTGGATGGATCAATTATGAAAGTCTCTAGGATGACATTAAATTGTACACAGATGTAAATTCTCGGAGTGCAAGCGTAGATTCTCTTGAGGAAACGTGCCTTATGTAATAATCCCTGTCATATTTTTCTGAGTTGATCGTAATTCTACGTTTTTTCCTATTTTCAGTATTCCTCTGTTGATTTTTCGTCATGTGGAAGATATCTTGCTTGCGGTTGTACCGACGGTCATCTCCTGATATGGGACTGGAAAATTAAACGGTTGATGTCCAAATGGCAAAGACTTAATAATGATCCAGACAACGACGTTGAGAAGCGGGATAAACGACCGTTAAAGCTCTTCGCTATTTGCTGGTTTTGTGAAGCATCAGGAAATGAACCAGTGGTTGTCTTCACGGATGAAAAAGGATTCATGGGGAAAGCTTCTAATCCTGTGGTACGATCGATTGACTCGGTACCCTCAGAAAACATCCCATCTGTTCGTGTGAGATCTCATTCGCAATGTGGCTTAGTCAATCCTTTCACCTAATGCATGCGTTGTTATAGTCAGATCCTAAGGTTTTGTCAGAAGCAGACATTGACTTTCTGGAGGAGATGGACGAAGACATGCTCTTGGAGGCAGTGAATAACGCCGAAATTCTTATCGTGTGGAAGATATCTTGCTTGCGGTTGTACCGACGGTCATCTCCTGATATGGGACTGGAAAATTAAACGGTTGATGTCCAAATGGCGAAGACTTAATAATGATCCAGACGACGACGTTGAGAAGCGGGATAAACAACCGTTAAAGCTCTTTGCTATTTGCTGGTTTTGCGAAGCATCAGGAAATGAACCAGTGGTTGTCTTCACAGATGAAAAAGGATTCATGGGGAAAGCTTCTAATCCTGTGGTACGATCGAGTGACTGGGTACCCTCAGAAAACGTCCCATCGGTTCGTGTGAGATCTCATTCGCAATGTGGCTTAGTCGATCCTTTCACCTAATGCATGCATTGTTATAGTCAGATCCTAAGGTTTTGTCAGAAGCAGACATTGACTTTCTGGAGGAGATGGACGAAGACATGCTCTTGGAGGCAGTGAATAACGCCAAAATTCTTCTGAAGCCACCAGCTTATCAAGAATTGCAAAATCGTCGTATTACGCCTGAGCAAGATGCTCAGAAGCAAACCGACGATTCTTTGGATGATGCACCAATGGATGGGTATGTAGATGACAAGGATGATGACAATGATAACGTAATTTCTCTGGCAAAAATTAAGGCAGAGTCAGGATTTTTGGACAACGAAACTTGAGGTAACCCACCATCCATTCCACCTCGATTTTCCGATGGAATACTCGATGGCCAATTTGTCCGTCAAAGCACTGGTGCTCGCAGGGGAAGGGTCGGTTGAAGAGAACCAGAGAAGCAAACTTTTTGTCAAACCGTTGAATGGTTTCGGAAACAAATGTGAATGGACTCTCAATATGGCCCCCAATGTATATTAGCACAATGATTGTGTTTTAATTATAAATACGTGTGTTTTGTTTCAGATATATGTGTTTTTGGCATTGTATACGTGTGTGTGACTTCGTGCCATTGAATTTGGAGAACTTTGACCATGGAATTTCTCATGTGGGCAAAGTTCTTCACATTCTCCTGGCGCTTGTCAATCAGCGCAGGAATTCCTGGGATTTTCAGTTCACACTTGCAGAAAGTGGAGTTTCTTCGGTAAAATAATTCTCCATTACTGTCAATGTCTTTTCTCTCACGTGTCTTGGATGGATCAATTATGAAAGTCTCTAGGATGACATTAAATTNTCTTTTCTCTCGCGTGTCTTGGATGGATCAATTATGAAAGTCTCTAGGATGACATTAAATTGTACACGAATGTAAATTCTTGGAGTGCAAGCGTAGATTCTCTTGAGGAAACGTGCCTTATGTAATAGTCCCTGTCATATTTTTCTGAGTTGATCGTAATTCTACGTTTTTTCCTATTTTCAGTATTCCTCTGTCGATTTTTCGTCGTGTGGAAGATATCTTGCTTGCGGTTGTACCGACGGTCATCTCCTGATATGGGACTGGAAAATTAAACGGTTGATGTCCAAATGGCGAAGACTTAATAATGATCCAGACGACGACGTTGAGAAGCGGGATAAACGACCGTTAAAGCTCTTCGCTATTCGCTGGTTTTGCGAAGCATCAGGAAATGAACCGGTGGTTGTCTTCACGGATGAAAAAGGATTCATGGGGAAAGCTTCTAATCCTGTGGTACGATCAAGTGACTCGGTACCCTCAGAAAACGTCCCATCCGTTCGTGTGAGATCTCATTCGCAATGTGGCTTAGTTGATCCTTTCACCTAATGCATGCGTTGTTATAGTCAGATCCTAAGGTTTTATCAGAAGCAGACATTGACTTTCTGGAGGAGATGGACGAAGACATGCTCTTGGAGGCAGTGAATAACGCCGAAATTCTTCTGAAGCCACCAGCTTCTCAAGAATTGCAAAATCGTCGTATTACGCCCGAGCAAGATGCTCAGAAGCAAACTGACGATTCTTCGGATGACGCACCAATGGATGGGTATGTAGATGACGAGGATGATGACGACGATAACGTAATTTCTCTGGCAAAAATTAAGGCAGAGTCAGGATTTTTGGACGACGAAACTCGAGGTAATGCTATCTGGAAATTATTCTTTAGCGGATGTTATTCAATTTTTTTATGTTCCAGCTTTGCAAGCTCAACGAAAAGAAGACGATGAAGTAAGCTTGCTGTCAACCAAATCCTATGTTGCCAGAGACTTCACTAATTTCGAAAGGCAGATAGAAAAACTGAAACCGAAACTCCAGGCGCCTTTCCAACCAGGTTCAACTCCACCTCGACTTGAGCATAGATACATGGTTCGTGTATTTTTTTTACTTATATGGTGGATTTGTTCTTTTAAAACACAACACGACTAAAGCAAGGATCGTCTGCCTCCCGTACAAATTATCCTCAAACCGATTTATTTTGTTCAACCAGAAAGGAATTCGAGAGATTACTGATGCAATATATCCCATGAGCTCTGAGAAATACTAAATGCACTAACAAATTTTGAAAACAGACAGACCCGTGTGCGGCAAAAATGCCCCAATGTATTGGAAAAATTTGGTAAAAAATATTTACTTGATCATGACAAGGTTCAACGGATTTTACCCATAATGCGCGGGAACCCAGGCATGGCTCAAATATCATCTATAGTTTTGTATCTCTGTCTGTTCATGCGTCGTGAAGAAAAATTGTGTTTTTACTTCATTCTGTTCCAGAAATGGAATTCGGCTGGTATTGTGACGTGTTACAAAAACAAAACCGAAATCATGGTGGATGTGGAATTCCACAATATTGGAATTCACCCACCATTCCACCGCGATTTTCCGACGGAATACTCGATGGCCGATTTGTCTGTCGAAGCACTGGTGCTTGCAGGGGAAGGGTCGGTTGAAGAGAACCAGAGAAGCAAACTTTTTGTCGAACCGTTGAATGGTTTCGGAAACAAACGTGAATGGACTCTTGAAATGCCCCCAAACGAGGATATCTGCTGCGTTTCGTTGGGTTCGGGATGGATTGTCGTTGCAACGTCTTCAAGATTGCTGAAAATATTCTCTCTCGGTGGTGTCGCCATGATGCCTGCGATTTCAATCAGCGGAGATGTTGTTTGCGTTGTTGGCTTCGGAGACCTCTTGGCGATAATCTTTCATCGTGGCGTTGGTATGAATAATTACTGAGCAATTTCGATGTACTGCACAGAAAGTGAACATGCTCTTAATCTTTCGTGCTTAGTTCCGAGATGGCTCCAAAGAAAAATTAACCAATTTTCGCAATGCAATACTTTCCGAACACAAATTAGTTTAAAAAATAGATTCAGTATCAAATTATTAATTCCTTTTGAATAATTTTTTCTGTAATACTTTAAAATGTGACGTCATGGGTATTATGTTCATTGAAAAAATGCATTTTAATTGTCGAAAAAGTTCTCAAGTCAGGAAATGAAATAATCAAGCGCCAAAGGGAATTTATTATTGAAGTTGGACTCTTTACAGGCTCTCAAGCTCTGAATTATTTCCTTCCATGTACCAGAATAGAAATGCTATGGCTGATTTTAAAAATGGCTCAAGTTAACAAGTTACAGAACACATCAACATGAAACCGCAGCATCTTGAAAACTTCCGATGGGTAAAATTGTAAGTGTACTGTACTGAGAAGAAAGCTTGTGTGAACAAATTTTGAAATGGTACGAAATTGCGTAATTCTAATATTATTTTTCTCATGGCTGTTGAAATGAAACGGATTCCTAATTAACCGAAAATTTGTTTCCTCAGCAGACATCGGAGGAATGCAGAACATTTCAAGCTTAAAATGATATTGAGACTATACTGTGCATTCATTTCCTGTTCAAATTTGGATGTAGCCACCATTTTTAATCCACTGCAACGCACATATTCTTCTCCTGAAAAACATCCTCATCGCTTTGTACGAAATGTGTGATTCATTTCGTACAAAGCATCAAACAATGCAGCTACTCATTTAATTATGCTTATATTGCTGCTTGAAATTGGTTAGGTTTGTTTGGGCCACCCTGCATAGTTTGCCGCCTCTTTTGTTCATTTTTTTCGTAATTTTTAGGAATACAGTTCCATGATTTAATGTTAGATTTTAAAAATTTTTGCGCCTATTTTCTTGAATGAAAATATGTTACGAATATTCACTTCCCGATTCTTAGTCACTATTTACCAAGCTTATCTGAGTACGGCGCAGTATTTTATATTTTAAAATGTATTTTCTTGATTTTTCATCGATTGAAGAAAAGCGGAAATATGAATATGATTTTATTGTATTTTATTTCCTGAGAGTTCTTTTTGAACTGTAAAATTTTACTTCGTCGTCTTCCAGGTGACGGTGGGGATCAAAACCTAGGATACTCCATCATGAATGTCAAAAAAAGATCTCTCATCAAAGAGAATGGAAATTTCCCATTGTCTCCAAAATCGTTTTTGTTTTGGATGGGCTTCACTGATGAAGGAAGTTTATGCTCTGTGGATTCTATGGGTGTTGTTCGTCTGTGTCCGCAAGCTGGCCGTGGACTTTGGTATCCGATTTTGAACTTGAATGAAGGGGTAAGTAACGTAAATTCTGATCGAATTCTTTGATGATTCATGCATTTTTCTGACATCGGACGCTTAGTTGGCTTGTAAGAGCGATCAGTATTTTGTGATCGGAATCAGCGAAAGGAAGGAATCGGTGAGATGTGTTTTGTGCAAAGGATCAAGATTTCCGGTTACCGTTCCGCGTCCGATGATCACCTCGCTTCCATTCAAGGTAATAATCTGCAGTGTAATCTTCTGAAAACATCTCAAACTTTTGTCCAATTAATTTGGAATTACAGTTACCGCTGGATGGTTTTGATGCTGAACACGTGATAATGCAAGAAGCGGCATGGGGGAAACGACTTCTTGCGTCTTGTTTGCAAAATATTTCCGAGCAAGGCGCTGATGTTTCAAACGATATCTCCGTTGCAAATGCAGATGTATCAGCAAATATGATGAGGTTATTCGCTGTGAGTGTTATATTTTAAGTATAGGTTTCGATTTCCCGTTATTTGTGCAGTGTCTCGAGAACTTAGTGTTCGTGCTCGCGTCAAATCATTTACGCAGATTCTTGCGATGAAAGTACTGTAGTTCGAGGAGAATTTCGATCGGTTCTTTGAACGATTCTTTCCAGCTGGCTTGCAAGAATGGCCGCGACATGTTCGCATTCGATTTGGCTCAACTCATGCCAACAGAACATTTGGGCCTTGTCGTCAAGTATGCAGTCACTCAGAACCGTCTTCTTGCTGAGAAAGTGAATGAATTGCTGAGGGAACGCGAAGAATCCACCGATGATATTGATGAAGACCCGGAGAAATGTGATCTGTTGGACAAGCGTGATCTGTGGTCACGTGCCCCAGAGAAGGATCTGGGTCTCGATGCTGGAAACTCGTCCGTCCCTGTGTGAGTATCCAGTAGCTGTTACAGTATCATGAAGGGTTGCCATTAAGCATCCGTGTAGATAAAGCCCTTAGCTTTTTGTAGCTCACTCTTTCGCTGGTGGAATGCGTACGTTGGCTACATCTGAAATTAAAATATGCGCGAGAACGTCTCCCGTTGCTGTTGAGACCAATATAATTTTCTACGCTTGGAAGATGTGTCACTTGCAGGTACTTGTATCCCGTCCATTTTGGTGGTTTCTCAATTTTTCTTAGAGGTTAATGAGACGTATTTTTCCGCAGCTCACAATTTTGTGGGTATTTCTTACAATTTTGGAACCATCCAGGTTTCTAAAGCATGACGAAATGATATACAATTTACAAGTATTTTTAGTAGTTTCGATTTTTCCATGAATTCTTTTTTTATCGATTATAAACGTAATTTCCCATTTCTTGTTCGGTTGCTTGTTTCAATGTCGATGCGTGTGGAAAAGGTTGCGCGAAACATAACGTGATCACTCTCTTCAAGAAAGGAGTTTTTGTGTCCACTTGTGTTTCGTAATGTTGAATTTTTCGCCGCAGGATGCCAACTGCAGTGACGTTGAAATCCAGGAGATCTTTCGGAGTTCAACGGGGTTCTGAGCACGACAATGAATCGACGCTTGCTGCTAACTTTTCAGACTCATATGGTGGGAATTTTTGTGAATGCGGTTATTTTATCGATTGAGCAGTTTCTCAGTCTTGCGATATATTTTTTAAAACTTTTAATTACAGCAAATAGAAGTTACAGCTCGAACCCACTCCTAGCTGCCTCGGAACTTGCGAAAGCGCGTTCTGCGGTACTGCAAGGAAAAAACGCGGAATCCCGCGCGAATCCATTCAAAAAAGATCATGTCGAGGAGTCGTCGAACGCTCACAATCGCAGTATCGGAGATGGAAATACCGTCTTTGATTCCTTGGAAGTTAGTGCTCTAAAGATCGAAGCGAAGAAGGTCTTAGGAAATCGGAAAAATGAATCTATTTCAAATGATGTATCGTCGAAAAAAGTATGTGGATCACGGTTGTTTTTTTTATTGAAGATTCACATTTAATAGTTCATTATTTTCACAGTCGAAGCAGCTGAAATTATTTGCTACTTCAGAAGGCAAGAAAGGAATGCAACAGCCACCGAAAATTGCGGGATCATCTTCCAAACTGCCCCCCTTCCCGGAATGGTTCAAAACGGAGCGGGAAAATATTCTGAAGGATTTACCGGATGCTGAAGAGAAGGAGGTTGTGAAAGAGGCTATGGATAGGTTTAAAAAGCTTAAACAAAGTCGTCAACCCTCGTCCTTGACGAAGGAAGTAGTTCCTTTGAAAGAAGATAAACACACAAAACGAAAGCTGGAAAACGCGAAAGAAAATTCAGCTGCTCATTCCGATTCTGAGAAAGATGGCGATCCAACGGCGAAGAAACTTAAGTCTTCCGGAAAATTTCGGTTTGCTCAATTTGCACAAGAAGATTCTTGATCATTTCTAAACATTAATTTTTTATGAGATCTTCTGCTGCCTTGATCATGATTTCTACGGCATTGAAACAACTTTGTATCATTCGAACTGCAGCATTTTTTTTTTGACGTTCAATGATCTTATGGTTTTTATTCCATTGAGATCGCTTCCTTAATGCCACCTGTTTTCATATCATACAGGTATGATCTAGTTTTAGTTATCGTGCGAGTGCCCACATTTGGGTATCCTTTGTATTTCTTCTCTAATCGTGGTCATCAGAACTAAGGAATGGGTTCCCCAGTTAGAGCCCCACTGGAGGTGAGACGTCTTGTTTCTCCTATTTTTTTTTTCTGGTAATCTCAAGTATTTTAATTTTTCTTTTGTCAGACCTTCCATGAGCAGTTCATCGTGTTGAAGCCAATCAGTAGGGGAGCATTCGGGTTAGTACGAAAATTTCCAATGCTTTTACGATTTTTTCTTGAATCAGCTTTCTTTTTCAGGAAAGTTTTCTTGACATATCACAAAAAGCATGACCAGCATTATGCAGTGAAAGTTATGAAGAAAACCGAAATGGTCTGGAAGAATATGGTGAACCAAGGTGATTTTCTGTTACTCATGCCGTGTTGGAGCCATTATTTATTCAATATCTGATTCTCTTTAGTTCGAGCGGAGCGTGATGCATTGGCCCTTCAACGGAGTCCGTTTTGTGTTCAATTATACTATTCGTTCCAAAGTTCGGATCACATTTATCTGGTAAGATTTTACGACATCTAAAAATAAGGCCGTGTTATTATTTTTCCCTTGTTCTACCTGCTGTTCCTTGTCGAACGAAAAGCGACCAACAAGCGACTTACCGCCTTTTTTGTTGGCTTCCCATCATCTCTATTTCTTTATTTTTTCTTCAGGTGATGGAGTACATGATAGGCGGTGATCTGAAATCTCTGCTTACGCATTACGTGCGGTTTGACGAAGCGATGACCACTTTTTACATTGCAGAAATTGCGTTGGCACTCGATTATTTGCATAGGTACGTGCCGTTGAATATCAACGAAGCATGCATTCTTCTGACAGCTACACTTCGTTTTAGGCACGGGATAATTCATCGAGATGTCAAGCCGGACAATATGCTTGTCAATCGAACGGGGCACGTGAAACTCACCGATTTTGGTCTGAGCAAAATAACGTTTTCCGAAGGTAAGTACAGTACCAGCATGCATACTTCTGCTCCATTTTTCGCGGAAGTGAGGTGTCAATCCGACAGAGATAGTATCATACGAGCTTGACCTAGATGGCAACCGAATTGAATGTCCTGAATTTTTTTCAATGAGTATGTTCTTCGAATTTTAATTTAAAATCCTGGTAATGCTTGAAAGCACTTCAACTCCGCGAGTGACATCATTTCAAGTTTTAAAAAACGTTAATTTTTAGAAACTTGGGCAACCTATTGTAGAATGACCTAATTTTTGTGTGTCGATCCACATGCTATTGCAGAGGTAATCAAGCAGCTTGTCACAAGGACAAAAACACCTAGCGCGACGGCGACTGCAGCTTTCACGAGAACTCCTGGACAGCTAATTTCCTTGACGGAGAGAATTGGCTTTGTAAGTAGTTCACGCGAGCCTTCTTCAGTTCCACTGCCCATTTTCGATTTTTTTACTCGGCCTGACTTTCCAATGGTTGCGTGAAGTTGCTGCTCATTTAAGATTATAATATATCATTCTTTTACTGTTCCGAAAGCAAACATAAATAGAGGAAATTAACATAGCTTACGTGATCTTGGTCGAAACTACTCAGCTGGAGCTTTCCGAAAGCAGGAGTTGGGTGAAGTCTAACTCGGGTGAAAAGTACTTGAGAAATGTTTTTTGTGTATGCAGTACTTTCTTTGTCGATTGTCATCTCATGTAAAGATGTGCGAGATAGAATAATCCCGGCTTTCAAAGCGTTTTTTTTTCGACTTAATTTACAAAATATTGTGTGACAAAAGCTTCGAACAAAAGCATCGGTTTTTCAAAGCTAAGATTTTTTCGCTAGTGTGATACATTTGTTTTTGAATTACCGATTTTCCTTTTCACTTTCTAGAATATCTAGATCATGAATTCGAGTTGACATTGCACTTATGCTCTATTGATTTTACAACGTATGTATTTTCTGGTAGGGGAGTAGTGTGCGAAAAAATCGCTCCACGGATTCGTTCATCAATGAAACGAGCCTCAGTTCATGCAGTGATCAAGAAGTTGGGAAATTGGTCTTCGATACCAGCTCATCAACGGAGTACTTCACACCTCCCGATCGTTTCGACCACAATTCCTCATTGATATCCAGTAATGTCTCAAGTCATTCAGATGTTGGCTTTTCAAGCAAAACATCTTCTGCCTCCGTGGAAACAGTTATGCTCACAACGGGAACCGTGCGTCACGACGATTCCGCTATTTTAAGCCAGATTTCGAGGGGAAGCGGCGCATCTGTGACAGACAGCGGCCACAGTAGATGCACGTCTAGGTAAGACTATTTTTTACCCCATCCCTTTCAAATGAACACTTTCTTTCGTCAGGTATTGGAAATAATTTTCGTCTGAAATTTTCCCAGTTCCTTCTTTCATTTTCTTTCGTGCTTCTTATTTTAAGGATTTTTGATTAATTACTGCTATTATCACACGCTTCAAACTACAATTAAGTTTTGAATGCTTTGGTTTTGGTGTAACTATAAGATTAAAATTTGGCTTCAAATAATTAGCGTAGTTTTATTTGTTGAAAAATTTAATGGCCAATAATTCCCCATTTTTGTCGAAATACACGGAAAATCAATGCCGTAATGCACTGAAGTGTTGGTCGGTGTCAATATTAGAATAATTCTTCTACTATACCATTCCCTTTTTTAATTTTGCGTCATAGATCCCAGTATTCACGTTTCGATGATGAGAAGGAGAACGAAGACACCACTGCGCATTCGGGTGTCACCGGTGATTTTTCTCACCTCGCTATGAGAGAAACGGCGGGTCATGCCAGTCATGTGCATAGTGTGGGGAAACGTCGTGTCAGCTATCGCGACGTACATCACCTTAGTCCGATCGCGGAAAGTCACCTCAACTCAAGTGCGCCTGTTTTTGGTAACCAAGGAGCTCTGTCTTCTGCCTCGTCATCCTCGCCAGAATTCACTGCACGTCCGGGCCATTTGGCGTCAACGCCAGTGAAGTCTCCGTGAGTAATATTGAATTCTCGAGGTCTGAAAAATCGAATGTATACTTGATTTATGACTTTGAAGGGGAAAAGAACAACGCGGAATTTACTTCTCATCATGCATCATTTGCTCTTTCAGCGTGACCATAGGAAAAATAAAAATAGAAAGCATGAAATATTAATCCAATCGCGAATAGCTATTCGTCCTTCTTTGCCGCAGGAAGTAATTCTTCTGCTTTCCTGAGTATTCGTGATTTCCGCGGCGTAAAACTTCATAAAACGTAGGCATCAGAATTCGGAAAGCATGCTTGCTGAAGTGTCCCACCTTTTTTCATATTTATGTGTACTTTTTTTTGCAGGAATGAAACCGACGATTCCGTTTTGCGAGCAGCTCCGTTGAGACGAAAATTCTCGCACTACAGTTTACAAGCATATGATCGAAATGATTTGCGTCCTATGTCAATGATAGGAGAGAAAGAGGATAATGGTCGCGTGTTCCGATCTCCTACCAGTGTCCAAGGGTTCGTCTCTGGAAAGCTGAACCACTCCTCCGCATCGATAAGTCCGATCTCTAAAAAGGTGGGCGGCGAAGGTTTTGAATCGGGTGCACTTGATGGCCATCTAATGCAATCTGCGATCGTTGCTTCTTCGTTATAATCATCAGTAAAGCAATTTTAAAATTTGTTCCCTTTTATCTGCGATAGGCCCGATTGAAGACTCCTAAGATCTCTAAGCATACATACATGGACGACGAGAAATTGCTCGGTACCCCTGATTACCTTGCTCCTGAGTTGCTTCTGCGTCAAGAACACGGTGTGTGAGACATGCTCCTCTCATTATTCATTTCCATCTGAATAAGTAGCTCTTTTTTTCTCAGGAAAAGCTGTCGATTGGTGGTCTTTAGGTGTTTGTTACTACGAGTTCCTTGTTGGGATCCCACCCTTCAACGATGAAACGATTGAAAACGTATTTGAAAACATTTTGAACCGAGGTACAGTTCATCTCCCGAGCCGCCAATCGTATGTCGATCTAACAATTTTTTTTTCCGCAGAAATTATCTGGCCTCAGGAGGATGGATGTGTGTCGGAAGATTCAATCAATGTCATTGACAAACTCCTGACATTGAAACAATCCGCTCGTTTGCAGAGCCTAGAGCAGCTGAGGAAAATGCCCGTGTTCAGTGACAGGGATTGGGACCATATCCTTGAACACGACGGACCATTCGTCCCGTGTCCCGACGATGAATGTGACACTGACTACTATGAAGGTAGGTTTACCTGATATTTTTCTGGTGCTTACATGCTCACCTGAAGTTACTGTTCCATGTGTTTCAGGTCGCAACAGGGCCCAGAATTTGCAAGTGTCACGAGTGGAATTCAGTCCGACCATGAAACCACGGGTTTAATTAATTTTTAAAACCTTTTTGAGTGCTCAAGCGCTTGCCTTCTGTCAGGAGAACAATAATTGCGTGCCATTTCATATTTTTTTGATGCTTTTTCATGACGAGATGAATCCAATTTACCTGTCGGAATTGCATTTTTTTTCAAAAATTCTGTTCATGCATCAATCAAGGCAAAAATCAAGCCGCTTGTGGTTTTCCAGGTATCTGAAATATCAAACTGATGGAGAATGAGTTCTTCGGATTTGTCGATTGTTACTGGCAAAGTGGATAGTGCCGCCAAAGTGCGTGAGCACGTTTCTGCTGATGTTGGTATGTTTAAAATTTCACGATTATGTTTCGGACATTTCCACTTCCATGAAATCTTTAAATTTTACAGAATTGCAAGAGCAGCGTAAGCTTTATCAGCTGCATCAGGAACGGGTAACGATCTGCTCCGCTAAGCTTGAGGAGCGACGTCGAAACCTCGAGGAAAAGCAGGCGCGATATGACAAGCATATACAGGTCGGTTTCTGAAAAAATCTCTTACGTTGTCAGAATATCTGTGAGCTTAATTCTGGTTTATCTTTTTTGTGGCTAGAAACGGCTTCGTACTTTTCTTTGTGTTGCGCCAAGTTTAAGGAGGTTGCGTTTCGGTCCTGATTCAGTAAACTTTTCTTCTGCGGATTTCGTGCTTGCATGAAAACTAATCTGATTTGATTGCTAGTAACGCGTCAGAAATATGGTAAAAGTATGAATGTCGTGATTTTGTAGTACTGTACGGTATAAAATACGACGACGACTCAATTATCGATCGAGATTGTCTATATTCGTGAACGAGGTTAAATTTTCGGCATTTAGACTTGAATGCTGCAGATCTCTGAGAAGTTGTCGTTGGTTCGAAAATTGTATTTCTGTACATTGAAAGAAGGATTTCATATTAGGACGGAAAAGAACGCTGCGCCGCCGCCCGTCGCCGGGCGAAAAATGAGATTGAAGTCATCGAGCAGAAACAAGTTGAAATCACAGCAATGCTAGAAGAGCTGACGGATGTTAAAGAGGAGCTTCGGCGACGAAAAGAGGATGCGGAAAAGTTTGTGCTGTATCAGGTTTGCGAAAGCTTTACAATGTGTATCTCCAGTCCAAGAATGATGATTTTTTTTTTAAATACGAAATAGGATTTTCTGCAAGGTGCGGTCGATGCGTCAGGAGGAGAATTTTCCTCCATGCAAGACCTGCTAAGCAGATATTGCATAATGTTGCAAACGAAAAAGGATCTAGAATTCCAGCTTAAGCGTGTTCAAAACGAAATCGCAACTTTGCGGAATGGCACAATGCTGCTTCAGCAGGTTTTACATCATAATTTTTCTCTGTTGTCGTATAGCTAGAACTTTCCCTTTTTTTGCAGAGTCATTCCACTGATCTGTTGAGAATCGGCAATGAAATCACAGATCTTCAAAAGCAGTTCTTGCATACACACGAATGCGTTATCAACCTGGAGGAATCGTTGGAAGATCTTCGTTCAAATCGCCGGGAAACCGTTGCTACCGAGGGAACATTGAAACTTGCGACGAACAATGTTTATCGCATTTTGATGCGTTATAGACAAAAGGCTGGACTTTCTTCCGGTTCGCGTGATATAATACAGGATTCTAATCTATGTGATCAGTTACAGAAGATCGGTGAATATATTGATGACTTCCGTGCAGTCGTTCATGTTGTGAGGGCAGAAAGAGATATAATACGTGATGATGGATCGAGCCAAGCTATGCGCGGCTCTATAGCTCCGATGCTAGTATGAAGAGCATTCCGTCGGCCAATTTTTGCGTGATCTGCATGAGATTGTCATTTACGTTCTCTTGATATTTAATTCCTAGTCATGTTGATCTCGCCGTGTAGGCATTCTCTGGTGGGAGCTCAGTGACAATTCGAGTGTTCAGTTTATTGAAGAAAATATTTGCTATGATGATATCATGATCCGTATCATTGCACCAGAAAAAACATGTTGTACGCTCACAAGATGACATTTTCTCGGGGGTTGGTCTTGAGTGCCTTACGCCACGCTCGCGCATGTATCTTTTCGTCATCTACCTGAATACCTGCTTCTTTCATCGTTGTTCGAATTTGATTTTTTGACTCTCGTGTATCTTGAATATCAAACGGCGCAATATCCTGGTTATTCGAGAGCTCACAGTCTACCACTTTATTCTGCACTGTTTCTGTTATTCTTCAGCATTTCAGAGGTGTAAATGGAGGACTTGAGTACTTCCGAGTACAGTATCATTACTGTAAGCGGTATCAGAATTTTTATTTTTTTTATTTACTCTGGGAATTGCACGGTACGATGTCTGTTCAGTCACAGTCCCTTGGATTAAAAAAATAGAACGCCGTTTCCAACTGAATGAGACAGCATAGACGACGTATGCCACGTGCGATTGAGTGTATCTTTCATGGTAAATGTCATTTGAAATGTTCTTTCCTTCTGATGACAGGGATCGCATATTTTCGTGTTGCTCGGTGATGACGCCTCTGTGGTCGCAGTTCGGAAACCGAGGGACGCAATGTCGCTCGTCTCAAATTTTCCGTGACTTTTTGGCGCGTGGAAGTTTTTGCCGATATTCCACGAAGTTGGACGCTACTCGCACTAATACGGATGGTGAGGTCTTCGTGCAATCTATAGACAAAGCATTCTATGATAGATCGAAAATATTTCCATTAGAAGGGGAGTTCCGAGTTCTCGATATCGCCCGAAAGCGCGCTCCCCGGAACGAGCAACGTGAACGAAGAAAGAAAAATACGCCTATCTTACCGCCGAGGGCAGATCGGATGCCCATAGATCAGGATTGGGGAAATGTGTGGCCGACCTCAAGAACTTTCCATCCGGCGACGGTCCCGTTGCCCCTTCGAATGGGATACTCAGAGAAGGGAGTCGCTCCCGGAAAATTTGCGAACGCCGAATTAATGAAAATTCCCAACTTTTTGCATTTGACCCCACCGGTGGTTGCTCGTCAGTGTGAAGCCTTAAAAAGTAGGTTTGATTGTTTCGATTTGGTTTACGTGCATTTTTCTTATTCATCGTGTTTACTGTGGAAATTCAGAGTTCTGCACTTCGTGGCCATCCGGATTGGAAACTGAAAAAGATGTTCAGCGACATTTCCCGCTTGAATTTGCCACCTGCAGTTACCTGCATTCGGGAACTTCGATTCGGGATCCGAATGCCAGGATTGTCACTCTAAAGGTTAGTGGAATTACTCTAAATGTTCACGGTTTTTCTGTGATGAAAATATGAGTATTTTTAACTGATGTCATCCTTTTGTTTGAATACTCACGATACAGCAAAAAAGAGTAGCAACGTTCCCTCGAAAAGTAAACTATTTTGCGAATAATTTGGAGCTTCTCGGAACATTTTGAAGAACGGACGGAAGATTTTTATTTTCCCCAAGAGAAAAACGTCCGCCCAATTCGCGTCCATAAAAAGCAAATTGCGATTGTTCCGCTTTTTCAGTATTTTCTGCTCCATCCCTGTTCGACTTGAAAAATATGAGTCTTGTATAGTTTTTCTGCGGAGTGTAGATGCAGTTGAGAGGGTTGAAAAATAAATTCGCATCTCCTGCAGAAACGTTCCGATAGGTTTGAAAGGCAAATTAAAAGAACGTTGAACACCGTTTGAACAAAGTACAGTACTGTAATGGCATTGTTTCTCAATTTGCGCGAATATCGGACAATGCTGGTATTTGCGAGTCTTTTATGAATTGTGTAACGGCATTTCAGTTCAAGCTGTCGACGTTGAACCTCGATAAACGAAGCAAGGATAAATATCTGCGATTGTTGGGTGAGAAATACGACGCCAAAACGGACACTGTCACCATAGTTGTGGACCGCTGTCCTTCTCGGCAGCAAAATCTTGATTTCGCCCGCTATGTTTTTTCTGTGCTGTTCATGGAAGCTAAGGTACGAATTTCCTGTGTTACTCAGCAAAATTCTTCCTTCACCCGCTCTCTTTCTTCTCAAATTAGCAAGTTGAAGATTGGGAAAGTGAGAAAAAGCTACATGATCTGGAGGAGTTTGTGTGGTCTGGCAGCACTTCGGAGAATAATGCATTGGCGTTGGTGAACAAAATCAAAGCCTCGAAGTCATGTCCGAATGTGTATCAAAGTTTACCCAGTGATCCCAGCGCGGACGAATTTGAAAAACTGGAAGTGGTTCAGGAGTATTCTCGTGTTTTGAAAACGGTGCTTGAGGACGGAGAAACGAACGAAAATTGGGTCAATTACGGAAAAGCGGTGGAAAAGCTTTTGGATATCCCTAGAGTCGAATCTTCTCGATAGAATAAAAATCGCTCATTTTTCCGTGAATTCTTGTTCGAGGCTTTGGATTGGCCGTTTTGAATGCAGCTGTGTTCATGATGCGAATTGTGCGCGTGCCTAATGGTATTGAATATTTCGTTATTCGATAGACTTCAGTTCGTCGATTGGTGAAAAATTTCGCGTTTGATCATAAATTTTTCTGCAAATTTGTACAGGTGATGTGCGTGTTGTTGCGTTCGCCACAGTGAGCTCTGTGTGAAATGTTCATTACGCGGTCTTGATTTCACTATCAAGAAAATTGGAGAAGCTTTATTCATTGAACGGTTTTTATACACTCCAGGCGACAGAACCTTGAGCTCAGGGTTTCTTCAGGTATGTCGCTGAATGGAGATTGTAATGGTGAAGTGACGCCGCCGGATTTAGATCAAGAGCCGTTGGTGTCATGTTGTCGGCATTGTAAAGAAGCGGCGACAAAGCCGTACGTCGAAGGAGCAGCAGCCCCGCGAACAACGATTGTCATCGGTACCAGCGAGGGCTATGTTTTGCAAGTGCCCATGTACCCTCTTATTAAACACAGTGCGGTGATCCGCGATCTTCTATACGACTATTGTGAGTTCTGAAAAGCGTATACAATATTTATTGTGCAAAAAATTCTTCGTCGGGCATGCCTATATACGAGGGATATGAATGTTTTTCGGTTGTCGCGGTTGTAATCCAAGTCAGGGAAAGAAAGGAAATGATTTCGTTCCGAGTGAACTTCATGATAAAGCTATTCAGCATAGAAGTTGGAGGAGCTGTTCAATTTGTGGGTACCCCGTATATTGCTCAGACCGTACAAGGAATCTGGTTGAATAACAATATTACTAAACTTTAGAATAATAATTCTGTTCAGATTACTTGCAAGGACTAAACTCACGCAATGGTAGAGAAGGGACTACTGTTTTTTTCCTCGTTCTCGAGGTTTCAGCGAAATTCTGTGATAAAAAATTTCTATCTTTTAGCCTAAATGAAAATTGTTTTTCGACACGATCTCATCGCAATGATCAGAAAATTCTGGAATTCACTCCCAAGGAATTTGGTTCCATTTTCTCAAGCTTGAAGTTTGAATTTTGACCGCGGTTTTGCGATTGTATTGCTTTTTAAAACTCGATGAACTTATATTTCCCGAGCGATACGATTGCAAATAAAAGTTCATGTGACATAACTTTTCTAGGCAAAAACTCGCAAAGAACGGATCCGGTTTTGAGACTGAAACCCGAGTTCGACGCTGCCACGCTGACCCGCGTAGTGGAGTGGTGCAATCATCACGGCGATGTCGATCTGTCGCAACCATTTGAGGACATGTGTGAATGGGACTTGGAATTCTTGAAGATTGATATCAAATCCCTCATGGATTTGGTGAAGGTAAGGCTCCCCCTTTTAAATTGATGCAGAATTTTTTGTCGTTACGCTTGAAAACGTACGAGAGATGGTTTTAAGCTTTTTTTTTTAAACTTCAAAGTGATTCATCATCATGCTTGAGATTGGATGTCAGAAAGTCGCGATCCTCAAAATGACTGCTGGATCATTGCTGAGACTTGACGTAATGAGCTGTTCATTTGATGAGGTTTTTTCTTTTCAATTGCAACCCTGATTTGGGCAGATTCTCGCTCGCCATTTATTTTTGGCAGCGTTCACATTCAGAAACATTGGTATTAACACGGAAATTGGCAAGGTCAGAAAACGTTATTTAAAGGAATATATTTTTCAGTTTTTTGACCGTGTCATTAAAAATATTTCATCTGATCTTAATTTCAATTTCATCAGAATTCCCACACCTTCCGGTACAAAAGTATCCGAAAAAGAGGAACTTCAGGATTTCTTTCAGTTTCATCCAGGTTGAACGTCTACTCAATATGTTAACGTAAAACTCGGGGAAGTTTTTATATCGCCGTGCTGAAACCCGCATCTGTCGCATTAATCTTCTTTGTCTACATTAGGCATCCTACTATCTGGAAATCGATGGTCTGGGAGATTTATCCTGTCATGGGCTCGCTCAGGTGATGGGGGGTAAAAATCCGGAACAACTGCGGGATATGTTTCATCGCGCCAATTTGCACGGTGATGATTGGTACGACCAGCAGTCAGACTGTTCCACTGACGCAGTGGCTGGAGACGAAGCGTCGGAGACACCGTGACGAATTTCGCGTCCCCGCAGGAAAACCTCCGATCCCCCGATCCGATTTCATCAGAGCGGGAAGCGGTCCGCCTTGACGGAATTATTTTGTGATGATTGAGAATTTTTTTCTGATTGTGGTTGAATGTGGCAATGGTGTATGGAGTTCAGGTGCATGTTCTTCGCGGAGTCATAATCGAGAATACGCTGCTGTGGCGTGAAAAATTCCCGGTTTTGAGCTGATTTTCCGGCGGTTTTTTTTTTTCGTGTTGGGAACTGATGCAAACTGATACCAATATCAACGAAAAGGCGCCTACGTTTAGATGCTTGTTTTAAGGTACCCTGGAATAAAAGTGTTCCCTTCGTGAATAACTCGCGATTTTGGTCTGTTGAAAAATTTTTTTTCTATCGGATTTTGTCAATATTTTAATCCACGCTTATTCTTCAGAAGTGAAGCGGTGATCCGAAAATGTCGAGCGTGATGTATAAACTCGACCCGATCATCAACCCATTGATGAAACCTGAAATTCCCGTTCCCTTCAGTATGTATCCCCTACCTCGTGTTTATGATTTGACTGAAGTGTCTTCCGTGTCGGACAGCAGGGATAAGGCAAGTGTCGATGTTCGGTAGGTTTCTGCTATTCGTGATCTTATTTCAATACAACATTTTGTGTAGGTCGACTTGGAGAAGGTAATTACTCAGCAAACGCAATTATTTGACAATTTGAAGAAGCTTCAAGAAAGACTCGACAAACTTCGGAATCCCGGTGCGACGTCAGATGCTTTTGTGGATGCCACCGCTTCAAAGCGATCAGCTTTGCATAACGAAGTTAAGGTACCTAATAGATTTCGTGCATATTTAAAATATTCGTTTTCCGGTTATAATTTGAATGTAAAAGGTGGACTGAAGAATGTATCCGTTTTTTTTTCTTAAATTTTATCTCGAAGAGTTTTCTCCTTGATATCTACAACATAAAATACTTCATAACGTTTAAAGCAAGTTCCTAAAATTTTCTATGAAATAGTTTCGATGATTTAGTAAGATTACCTGGTAATAATAGTTACTTTTAGGTTTGTTATAAGGATGTAACGGGAACTCAAGAAGTTTGTGCGGGAGAAATATCAAGGATTTTTGCCTGTTCAGCCATATAAACGCTTCCCCGTTTAAGGATATTTTAAGCATGTGCACAGTCTCATCCACATTTGGTAGGAAAAAGGCATAAAATATTGTTTACGAGATTTTTCTCAGTATTATCAATTATTTAACTTGAAGAATATGCCATTTAAAAATTGTTAACTTAAAAAATTTAAAAACTTGAAGAATATGCCATTTAAAAATTGTATGTTGAGGGCTTGCGGAAAAGCATCTGGGAAGTTGCTTTCCCTGCAAATTTGTCTCTGAATTCCGGAATTGTGTTCAATTTATTTTTTGCAGGAGTCGAATGACATCAGCGTTGTCCTCCGGTGCAATCCATCCCGTCCTCCGCTCGCTGTTCTGGATTTACTCGAACTTCTCAGCCAAAATATAGACGTGGACTTTTCGACTTTTTCGCATTCATCTGTGAAGGGAGAAGTGCCGAAGATTAACCCAAAAATTTGCCGATTGGTGGGAAAATCCCGGTCACCTCTCAAGTTTACCTTGATTTGGTCTGGTAAGTGTTCACATTCCTTGAGGACATTTTGACTTCCTATTTTATTCGCATCTATATTAGCTAGGACGCTAGCAAGGTGACCTGGTGTTCATAGATACTGTACAAAAGTATTTCGAATTCAGCGAAAATTGTTAAATTTCAAACTTTCTAATCGCTGATCTTAAGTTTTTAAAAAATTTGTAACATCATGCTTCTGCGTCATTGGCGAAAAATAATTTATTTTGAACTTCGCGTTTCGAATTGTTACAGATATCCAGTCAGACTGCGACTTGATCCTGAGAGCTTTGGATCCTTCAAGAATCGTTGGAGAGTCTAATGTATGCCGTTTTTTGTATCGAATGCTACCAAATCATGACTATTGTGATCCGGGGATGGCCAGTCATGTGGATGAGTGTATCGATCGTTTGGATGCCGGATTTGTGTGGTCTGATCGTGTGTCGAAAGAAGCTAAAGCTTCTGCGACGAAGTTGCTGAAAGATCCAAAAACTTCTCGATTAGTTTCAGCTCTTGCAAAATCATACTTGAGTAACTCTCGATAGACGCTGGCGAAATTCATCGCTGGAAGATGCGCGTGTTATTCCCGTTTTAAATTCATGTCCGAGTTGAAATTAACTGTCAAATGCACTTGAAGCTCGCAACTGAAGTTGAAGTTTTGAATTAATTGCGTTTTTGTTTTCATTATGAATTACTGTATGTCGTCAAGATCTATGGCGTGTTTTTTTTTTTCAGATGTTGCCGTGCAAAAGTTGCGGATCTCGTGCGATTCTCAAGGTAATTTCTTACTATATTTGTATACGTGGTTTTCAAAACGTGAGCGTGTCATCCAATATCTATTGCACTAATGAACTGTAATGCGTCGAATTTTAGTGTTATTTCTTGCAGTCGTTGTAATTAATGTATAACTTCCGAATTGCTTAGCGACCAAAGACGGGCGATGCACTCTGCAAGGAATGTTTCTTCTGGGCGTTCGAAATGGAGATCCACAACACCATTGTGTCCGCAAAACTCTTCAAACGAGGACAGAAAGTTGTGATCGGTGCCTCAGGAGGAAAGGACTCCACAGTTCTTGCCCATGTATTGAAGACACTGAACGATAAATTTGACTATGGGTTGGAGCTATTTTTGCTGTCAATAGACGAAGGAATCTCGGGTTACCGGGATGATTCGTTGGAAACCGTGAAGCGAAATCAGGAGCAGTATCACTTACCCTTGAAAATCTTGTCGTATGAGGAGTTGTACGGATGGACAATGGATAGAATCGTCGCAGCGGTTTGTGCCTTTCTTATTTTTTTTTCAGATGTTGCTAAGGAAGAGTGGCTTGTTCAAGGATTGGTTCAAAACTTGTGCCAGTTCTTGGAATACTTGATTTTGGCTTCTGGGGAATGCTTTCAACAGCGTTGCCTTTTCAAGCATCTTATTTTAGTGTTGATCTCCTCTTCAGTGGCTCCTTTAAGCTCAGTCAAAAATAATTGCAGTACTGTATCACCATGTGTTAACTCTCAATTAATCTGAACTTGAATGAGATACGAGGGTTGTCCCACATCCGCTTGGCCTTGGGTATTTCTAGAGAAGCTACAACTGCAAAAAATTATATGATGTACCACAAGCAATTGTAAGGTTCTGGGATTTTTTTTTCTTTTCAGATTTTGCATTTTTTCAAGGGTTCTTTTTCCAAAACTTTTTCTATTTCCTCTTCAAAAGCATCCAAGGATTAGTCTCTCTCTCTGTGTTATTTATTCTCATTACCTTGAAATTCTTTTATACTTCCGGTTAGATATCTCCTTAATTTTTATTTGTTGAATTTTAACTGAAAGAAAGGACAATTAAAAAAAAAGGGATGAGGAGCGGAACCTGCGCAAACGGGAAGAAAATCCGTTGATGGTTGGGGGAGGAGGACGATATGCAGCGGTACTTGAGTAGTTGTCTCCTTACCCTACTTTCTGACCGTGGGGCAGACTATAAAAAATACAGTAGAATAAAAATCAAAATAAATGCAGAAGTTTCATAAGATTTTGAGGTACTTAAGTAAGAAAAATATCCCAGGCAGAAACACGGCATTAGATGATGTTTTTGAATCGGAAATGATCACTTGCTCTTAAAAATGCAAAGGTTTTCATTTTTTGCAACAAAATAATCATGGAAAAAATTTGTAAATTGCAGAAGATGAAGAAAACTTCATGCTGAAAACACCATAAACTTTTCTATTTTTTGTCTGGTCTGAAAAAGTTTCAATAGCTTGTGACGTGGGTGGAGAACTCTCTCCTTAACTGGAAAGTGTTCACTTATCGTCATGCAGCAAGTCCAAAATTTGTTATAAAAATCTGAAAAAAAAATTCCAGAACCTTGCAATTGCATGGGCTACGTCCTATATTTTTTTTTACAGTGGTAGCTACTCAAGAAATACTCAAGGCCAAGCGGAATTGGGTCAACCCTCGTATTCGGAATTTTGGAAATTCACTATGTTGCAAATTCACTGATGACTTGCTGATAAAATCCTCGCGTTGTTTTTCAGGTTGGCCTGAAAAATAACTGCACATTCTGTGGCGTCTTCCGACGTCAAGCCCTTGATCGTGGTGCTGCTCTACTGAAAGCTGACCAGATCGCAACTGGGCATAATGCTGATGACATTGCTGAAACCATACTTATGAATTTTCTCCGCGGTGATATTGCAAGACTGCAACGCTGTGTTTCAATCACTACGGTAAATACATTATGCATTATATACTTTCATTGTATCGGGGATTCATGCGTTCCTATTTTTATCTCTAGGGTTCCGAAGGTTTATTACCCCGTTGCAAGCCATTCAAATACACCTACGAAAAAGAGATCGTTATGTACGCGTATTTCAAAAAACTTGACTATTTTTCCACGGAGTGCAAGTATTCGCCAAATGCTTATCGAGGCTACGTTCGATCTTTCATCAAGGATTTGGAACGTGTTCGACCATCTGCCATCATTGATATTATTCATTCTGGTGAGTAAAGTTTCGATTGGAAGTATGGTTGAAGCTGCATTTAGAAATATGCAGTTCGTCTTTTTTTTTCAAAAGTAAATACTGGACTATGAAATACAGTGCATCACGCATAATGAAAGCCAAACATTGCTTCCATTATGCGTGATGAAGTTGCACCACGATTTCCAGGCACACATGTTGTTTTTCACAAGTATTGCCCATGACCTGGAAACCATCACGCTGAATCATTTCAGTGATTACAGTATTACGATCAAACTAAAGCATGCCGGCTTTTGAACCTTTTCGCTCTGTTCAAAATACAGTTGAACCTCTTCAAGTCGAACTTTAAAGGGCTATTAACAAAATTCAATTTATAGAGGTTTCGAGTTAGTGACATTTACGGTGCATTACAGTATTTCGAAAGGAATTCGCACACGGACTTGAAAAAATTGGCGAAGGGAGTTATTCGACTTGGGTAGGTTCGAGTTACCGAGTTTCTACTTGTTCGTTCGTAATGAAGGTTCTTTCAATCATTTCGGACCGTGTCTCAAGTTACGGTATTAATTTTTGGAATGGGATGGATCTGTTCAAACTTGGAATGATGTGGGGAAAATTGACCCCTAAGTTTTACTGGTTTGTTAACGAGGAGTAGATGAGTGTTGAAACTTTTAAGAAATCTCTTGTACAATGCCAAAAACTGTTCTTGTTTTATATTTTGTTCCATGAATTCGTGGATCAAAAATTAGCGGCGCTGTTCTTCCCTCGGAAGCCGATCACTTTTTTAACCTGTCTCCATATCGATAATAACACACAGCCAGGGAATTCGCGATGTGCCGGGAACGAGATTATTAAAACGTCGATTAATTTCGTGGCAATTCTGTTTCAGGTGAGCAGCTCAGCGTTCAAAAGACGGTTAAGTTACCCGTTCAAGGAACATGCCAGCAATGTGGCTATATATCTAGCCAAGATGTTTGTAAAGCGTGCATATTGTTGGAAGGACTCAACAAAGGACTACCTAAATTGTCCATTGGAAAAAGCTCAAAATTGAAATTCGCCGCGCCGGTCGTCAAACCAAGTTTGTGATGTATTCTTTTTGGGATAAAAAAAGGTTTCCTCGCTTCGACATTGATTTTTATCCCTGCCTATTGCGTGTACCTCAAGAATGGATATGAATGTTCTAGATTTATTCCGACGCCAGGCGACTGGCTAGATTCTGAAGAGTCGAACGGAATCCAAATTAGAATTCATCATGTTCCACCAGATGACGTTCTATGAGGCGCGAACTTTTCACTGTGAATCCTGGCAATTCAACGTTTTTGATCGTCTCGTTGAGCACAGTATCTTTCAGAGTCAGATTATTTCTAGATCCGTTCGATTTGGATCGGCTATTGCATGATCATCTTCTGAGCTTTCTTCAACTGCAGCCAAGTTTAATTTATAATTGCTTTTTAGCTCATCGTCAAGAACAATATCTGGAGTTCGATTATTTCTTCATCCATTTGATGTGGATCATCTATTGCATAATCATCGTCGGAGTTTTCTTCAACTACAGCCAAATTTCGATCATCAGTGCTACATTTCAACGTGTGGGTGATCGTGGACCCCGCATTTATCACACTGGAAAAGCGGAATGCACTTTTCATGGGTCACACAAAATATCACGCCTGCGCGCAAAAGGATGGCACGCCTCGCCGGCAAACCCCAGTCTTTCCTTGGATGGACAATCACTCTTACAAATGCTGAAAATGGTTTGGAGTAAAATTAGCAAAACATCGTGTGTAATGTGTTGTTTTCCTCTCTTTATTCGCTGTAATTAAATTTTTTAAAAAATACGAAACTTTGGGGGTGGTTAGGTAAAGTTGGGTGAGGTCGGGTTATGTTGGTTAAAAATATCTTTCAACCAACATAACCTGACTGCCCCAGCAGTCTGATTATTAAAAAAACAGTGTACTTACAGTGAATAAACAGAGGAAAACAACGTACTGTATTGCGTAATTTTACTGTAAACGTTTTTCAGCAGTTGTATGGGGGAATGTCTATTCAAGGAAAGACTGGGCGCCAGTGTGCGGGGCGGTGTGGTGTAATAGCGGGGCGCGCCGTCGTCCGGGACTCCGGGTCCAGTCCTGATTTTATCTGTGCCCCTTTTCATGTACTGTAGTACTAGCTCAGAATGAAGTCGGACCCCGTTATTGTGTTTTAGAAAGAAGTGCTTGATCTTCACCCGTGTCAGAAAGATGTCGCTCGAATAAGGACAGAAGTTCGCGCAAGTGTGGGCTTGTAGCTAGAACTGTTGGATGAAACATATGCTAGGAGACGATGCACGAACCGGCCCCGGTCCCAAAATGATGAGCGTCGGAGGCACTGAGGAATGTGCCCTTGGTGGTCTCAATCTTTCCATTCATTTCTGACATTGTGTCAGGTAAAAAAAAAATGTACTGTTCAAAAGGTACGAGTCGAACATGGTATACTTGGGGGACCCCCGAAGATGTGGTGCTCTACAAGTCTACAGCCTGTACTTCTACACTGTGCAAACTCTGAAGTATGCGAAGAGCGCAAGAATGAGTGAGATATGTATGATAATGGGGCGAACTTTTTGGACATGCTTCGTATTACGGTGTTAAGTTTTCTATGAACTGCACAATTAAAAGACTCCGAAATATTACGGTACAATTTTTTCAAGGGGAAATCTTGTTTCTGACCTTCGCTGCGGTAGAATTATGCGTACCGAAATGAATTCCGAGCTGCGAAGCAATAATTATGAAAGTTTTCTGAAGTGTTGAAGGGCGAATGATCGGAAATTTCCTCAGAAATCTTACAAATAATTACAACCGTTGTAATGACAACCGTTGTAGTAAATTGTAAAACACGATTATATTACTCTTCAGAAATCAGTACCGGCGGCAATATGCGCGATGTCGTGAATCAAAAGCTGAAATTTGTTGAATCAAAAGCCAGTGCTGAAATTCGTGAGATAGCAATTGTAATTACGGATCTACGTTAAAAGTGAGAGATTGAATCTCTCACTGTTCACGCGAAGTGAAGTGAGAGATAGAATTTAGTAATGCCTGCGAAATACATAATCATTTTCAGCTTAGAATTTAGTAATGCCTGTGAAATACAGAATCATTTTCAGCTTCTGACGCTTAAAGATCTGCATAGAGTCAATCATCACAATTGAACTCATTGCATTCACTTTCTGAACAATTTTTCCCACTTGGGTATTGCATTCTGGACATTAACGGAACCCAGCAAAACAACACATGATGAAGATGCAGTGGATCAAATAAAGCACATGCCATCAGCATCAAAGAGCATTTGCCTCTATTTAAGGGTACAGCTTAAAGATGAAAAACTACCAAAAATGGGAAAGGAACAAAGGACTCAAAGAAGGTTGTGCGTAGAATATGCTTAATAATTGAAGTAAAAGTTGATAAGTGTGAATAACCTTAATTAGATTTTTCTCTGCATTGGGTGTTTTCTCTGCAGAACATGGTGTTCAGTTGGGTGACACCAGCTGTTGACCAGTAGGAACCTATTTTTATGGATCTTCATTAAGCACTATGTGACTACAGTATTGGTTCATCTACTTGAAGTGTATCATGTATATTTCTGGTAACAAAGGCAAAAATCTTTGTGGTGGTATTTTCATTGATATGCTTGTTCGTTTGACAGGTGAAGGTATAGTATTTACATTTCATGGATATTGTATCGTACAACGACGATTGCATTTTGCACGGGACAGGATGCGTCAGTTTACCTCATCATGACACTCCTTGCTGAAAGATTTTTGCTGATCATACCGTTCAAGTGCAGCAATAAGAACTTCGAATAAAAAATAAACAGAAAATCCGTCGTTGTTCCTAAATCAGTGCTGGACATACTAGTCGGAAAAAATAAAAATAAATAAAAGTAGCAAGAACGTCATTAACGTTTCCGCTTTTGATGCTGGAAATGAATGGTACGCGTAGATTGCATGTTCCAATCCACAAAAGTTTTCTCGAACCATTCAACGTAAAACACATTTGCCCTTTCCGAAGAGTTCATCATTATGTATAATCAAGCACCTTCGCAACATGAAACGTTTGCAACAACAAACTTTTGAGGAAATCAGCGGTATGTGTTTTCAACCAAGTTATATTTTTTTCCCATGCATTATTTGGACAGTTCGGAGCATTCACTCATGCTGATGAGCTGCAATTCAGTATGTACGGTTTTTTTTCTTCAAATATTTCAAACAGGTAGAAGCTCAGTGTGTAGTTTTTTATCCAGAAAAATTCTGAAATGAACTGAGATGGATGAATCCAACAGAAAAGTCAAGGTACTATACAGTTCGAAGTACAGTACTTGAAAGGGAAAGACGAAATGCATCACTCACAAATTACATAAAAATATTCACGGCTCGGAGAGGCAACAATTTCTTCCTGGCCCATCGCAAATGCATTCAGAAAACTTCGTCAGCGTATTTCATGTGCTGGCTCTCCTGCTTCTTCTGCATATACGATTCGCTGAATAAACGGACTGTTTGTTGAATAAACTAATCTGCAAGCATGTTCCTTTTTTTTCTTGCTTTAAATTTCTTGTATCTACGTACGCCAGAAAGAAAAGCCTGATGCTGAAAACGTTTCCGCGGAGCCAGAAGAATAAATGCCACCTCCGTCCTTCGAATTAAAATTTTTTTTTTTGCGTTCGTTTTCAAGATCCATGTTTCGTTCTTCTTTCTTATTCACGTATTGTTTCGTTGGTGTCTTTCACGTGTTTATTTTTTTGTATGCTTCTATTTCTTTCCAGCCGGGGCGTCGATGAAGTCGTCGTCAGGAAAGTCTTTCCCGACCCTGGAAACAGCTTGGCCCTCAAAGTTCTTGATCAGTTGCTCTGCCTTTCCTCCGAAGTCCTTGCGGAAGATCTCAGAAAGGCCCTTGGAAGGCGCGGATCCGTCCGGCAGT